GTGTGTGTGTGTGTGTGTGTGTGTGTGTGTGTGTGTGTGTGTGTGTGTGTGTGTGTGTGTGTAGTCATGCCGCTGCTATCATCCTGCTATAATTACTGTAATTTTGTCTGTATACCAATGCGTGTTATTTTCATGACACAGTCGCCAGAAAAAAATTCTTTTCAAAAATGTCCTTGCGTGAACGCGAGATGTGATTTGCCTTCATCGTTTCACATATCGTGGACCAGCCAGTCATTTTCGGTTTCATAAAGGTCCGCGATCGCTTAAGCAAAGAATAACCTCGAGATTACACGCTTTCTTTTTTTAGCATTTCCATCTTTCAATCTGGAATCAATCATGACGCTTTTTTTCCTAAATTTACGATGAAGAAGGCGAACGTGCCCAGCTTTTCCTCTTTTCTCGATTATTTCGTCTATGCGTATATTATGACTATAGTGATCAGGTACGAATATATAAAGAAAGCTGTAGCACAGAGACGAAATGATCGTGACTAGCTATTCGTACAAAGGGGGGCCCGACGCTTGTAATAACACTCGTTGTTTGGCTAGCTGGTGCATTGCGTCAAGAAAATATATCCAGCCTAAAACTGAACGTACTCGAGAAACGGAGAAGAAGGCAGGAAAGTGACTAGAACACTTGCGCGGCAGATTGCCGCGGCGATGTGACTGATGAGTACGTGTACCTGAGCACCACGAAGATGGAAACATGGAAAACTGGCCCACTGTATAAGAAAATGGCGCACATGTATAGCCTTTCCCGTCTTCTGTTTCGTTTTTCTGTGTACGCTCATTTTTTTGACTGGATATATTTCTCGATGCACAACGCTTGCTGTGCGTCAGGAAGAGGTGTAATTGGATAGAACGAAAGGTGCTTGATTGAAGATATATATATATATATATATATATATATATATATATATATATATATATATATATATATATTATATATATATATATATAATTATATATAGTGTGTGTGTGTGTGGTGTGTGTGTGTGTGGTGTGTGTGTGTGTGTGTGTGTGTGTTTGAGATAACAAAACCGAAAAGCTGGCTAGTCGTAGCCTTCACCTCCCTAGAAACGTTTCAAAATGGTGAAATACCAGTGCTGTCACTCCCCTATGAGAAGGCCTTGATCGATAGTGCTCACTACAGCTCATCGAGGCAAATGTTTTTTTTTTCCTTTTCGAGAGAGCTTTCTTTTGCGTGTGCGCTTTCAAGTGCAATCTTTCTATACGGCCTGAAATTGCCGTGGCCACAGAAATTGCGTAACTGCAGTGCGCAACGGTGCCTGTGCACTGCGGGGCTGAGTGTCGCATGACACATGGGCAAATGTTTAGATGCATCAGCCGACGAAGGCTGAAAACGTCTGCACGACCCATTTATGTGCGATTGTATATCTTCGTGCGTGTATACCAACTTCAGATCGTGTGGCGTGTAAAGAATCGCTGAAGAGAGCACGCTAATAACGCAAAAGAAAACAGATTGATGTGTAGAGTTTAACGTCCGAAAACCACCATATAATTATGAGAGACGCCGTAGTGGAGGGCTCCGGGAATTTCGACCACCTGGGTTCTTTAACGTGCACCCAAATCTGAGCACACGGGCCGACTGTAGTGAAACAAAACAGCGCGTGATAGTTGGCTTTCATTAGAGTGTGGTTTACGTCACTGCAATCGAATTTTGGCGTGGCATATATTGTTGTTAGCAAAGGGCCCGAGACACTGAAGTGCGCAAAAAAAAAAAAACGGCCCCGCGTCCGCATGTTACACTGCAAACGTCGTCGAAAGACGATAGTCTTGCGTCTGGAGAGAGTGAACAGAATGTTTATTTGATGTTATGCGCAAGAAAATCGATGAATGGTATTCTGGAGACGCTGCGTTTGAGTGCCTCGAGCGTGCAGAGGGAGCGAACGAGCGTATCAAGTCACGTCACACGTGAGACATGAGCGCCATCTGGTAGTTACCCTGAAAAACGAAGCACGTGGTGTGCGCGCCCGTCTCTGAGGTGAGGAGGTGTCGAACGCAAGGCGACGGGCAGGTGCCACCACCGTGTCATCTTAGCAAAGCGTTGGAAACACCTGCCTTTTCGTGCAGGCGTTGCATGGTCAACGCAGCGTGATAAACGCTATGGTCCTTAGAAATACTTATGTATGCCTTTTCTAGTAAAACATACACATACAGAATATTGACGTGTTGTTGTGGTGCCACAGATATGCGCAACAATTTCTTTTTAATTGACAATCGCACAAGTATGAACACTAAATCTTGAGCAATATTGGTGGGTGCTGCGGATGGGGTCGGCTGTTTGGAGTATCGTTTGGCCACTTTGATGCCGTTTAGAATACTGTTAGGGCGCACAAACAGACAAATGAGCAGACAGACAGACAGATGAAAGTTTTTTGCATCGAAGGTCCCAACAAGGACTCCAGAAGTATATCTGAATTGTGGGGGCGACATTCGTCAGCAAGAATATATATATATATATATATATATAATATATATATATATATATATATATATATATATATATATATGTCGCTGATACATACCTCTATTTTGCCAAGGCGACAAAGGAAGAGGGAGGTGGGGAAGGGTCGCAGGAGCTGTTAGTGGGGGGCCACGCCCCCACTCGTTGTGAGAACGCTATCAGTACACCCGCTGGATGATGGGCTATCCTTCCCATAGAGTTTCCTAAACTTAACTGGAGGAGCCACGGGCGCTTCGATCGTTCAGCGACCTAGGGAAAAAGGGGTATATAGTACTCTAGTTTGCCCATTATTCGCAGTTGTGTTCTTCGAACGCATTTTATTTGTTGCTGTCGGTTGTGTTCTTCGAACGCATTTTATTTATTGATGTGTCTTGATTTTCTTTGCTAATAAAAGAACGAACGGTTGTGAGCTTCGTGAGTGAATGTAAATTGGTGTGCCTAATAAGGCGAGGGTGGTGACGTGTAAACTGTTAAACCTGTACTGAACTTCTTCATGGGGAAAGGGGATTCAGGCCACACGGAGCCGAACAGAGCCGAAAGAACGAATATAGACAAATTTGTGCGCCGCGCATCATTCCGGCGCTGGCGTTTCAGCTTCCATAGACACTAGCGCCAGAGTTCCCTGTAGCGTATTTGTTGGAAACTCGCGATCTTTCCTGTATACGAGAGTGGTGCGCTGTTATGCCACAAGCATGGTCCTCGTTCGGCAGCACTTGTTCCCACGAGAACCAGCGCAGTTTTAGCGAACTCTCCCCCCTTCCCAGCGCCACCTTCCACGCAGACGACGGCGAGCCACCGAGCAGTTCCGGGCAAAGCGTCGCCTCCTCCGCCGAGCCACCGTGCCCGTTCCGAGGAACTGGTCTCGCAGAAAAGACCAAAACGTTATTTAAGGCCGTGCCGGCCCCATGTTTAGAGGATTTTTCCCCAGCCGACGTTGTCGTGCTGGCCGGCTCTGTACAAACGACAACCTGCTACAGTAAACGCTCCTTCTTGTTGCTGTTTTCAAAACGGATTGCCTGCCTGCATCGCCTTCGGGCTAAGTCTTCAGCGAAGTCCGCTCTACTGCTCGCCGCTCTTCGCCACCGCTACCATCGCGAACCCGAATTCATAACAGCGCGCAGGTGAGATCATGACGACCAGCAGTATATACAGGCGTATGGTGGCCAACAAACCTTCGTACTAGTTAGCGTTCCTTCCTCCTCTCGTGTCATGCTTTTGTGTCCGCGTCGCTTGCGCTGCAAATTATTCCCGCATCTCCCGTTCTTCGAGCGCTAAGAAATTGCCGGATGGTAAATGGCGATAAGGTACAGATGTCCATCCTGGACAAGCGTCTGTTATGTCGGATGTTTGTATGGGCATGAGCAAACAGATGCCCGTTCCAGATTCAACAGGCGCCCGGCGCCTCTTCCTAAGCGAAGTATAGCTTACTTGGTTGTTGTCTCATCTTCACAAACAGGATGTGCTGACGGATCTGAATGCAGAAGGCGAGCCACTTCCGGTCAATCCACCGCACGAAGACTGGCTGGGTCACAAGGTGCGCATAACCTTTCACGTTTTTTTTACGTACTTTACGTTCTAATAGTTTGATATTGAATATATGCTTAATTTAGCATCACCCGTGGACGTTTTAGGAATGACTGTAGTGATCGGTTGCCGAATTGATGGTTGCGGGTTCGATTCCGGCCGCTGTGGTCGATTTTTGATTGAGACGGCTGAGGCCCGTGTCACGAAACAACGGATGGTTGAAACTTACGGAGCCCTTCACTACGGCGTCTCTCACAAGCGTATCGCGGTTTCGGGGCGTAAAATCCCAGATATAATAATAATAATAATAATAATAATAATAATAATAATAATAATAATAATAATAATAATAATATTATTATTATTATTATTATTATTATATTATATTATTATTATTATTATTATTATTATTATTATTATTATTATTATTATTATTATTATTATTATTAGTTTAGTTCGTCCCTACTATATCGTCTGAGATTATTACAAAAAAAAAGTTATTTTTAAGGCACCTATTTTACAGGTGGCTTCCAGTTCAACGGAGATGCTTTTACCTGAAAAGCTGTTTTGACGAAAAGACGCTCCAAGAAATTGCAAGGTTTTCCGTAGCATTAGTGGCCGGAAAGCCGATTCATCGTTAGCTACTTTTGCTTTTGCCTCTGCGGGATTTTACTCATGCAGTGCAATCGCTAAAGCCATTTTCTCCGAGTGAAATGAAGCACGAAACGAGACTTCACTACCAGCCCTGGCTCAGCAAAGTAAATATTGCGGAGCTCTCGACTAGTATGACGCAGTCAAGTCTTATGAAAAAAAAAAAAGGAAAAGACAGCGTGCTCCTCCAATTTTCTCCCTGTGCTATTGCTCAGTAATATAACTGTAGATGCTGTAAGCGCTAAAGACAACCAGAAGTGATTTTTTTAGAAAGAACAACAAATGTTTTGCTACCTGAAAAGAGTATTTTTTCTGGTGCGCTAAGTTGACGAAAGAAAAAAATGCGGTGTTCTTATAACAGCTTGCGTTACTTTTATTCATTTGCCGCGTCACCTATAATGTGCATTGCGTCCTTTTAAAGTGTGTGGAGAGGTGAAGATTGAAATAAATATAACTGCTACTGTTAACGCACGTGTTATCGTAATGTAATAACTTTCTCGAAAGGTAAAATGGTTCTTTACAATTTGTTGCAAAACGGAGGCGTCTTCGTGAATGCCTTCCCGTGTAATGCATAACGACTCAAACTGCCAATGTCACGTTTCGAGTGGTCATGTTACGTTTGCGAAAAAAAACGCTCCGAAAAAAAAAGGAGCTGCGATAAAAAAAATGACAGCCTTTTTATCTAACATTAAGGAGAGAAAAGGCTTCACGGTAAAACGATAACTTGATCTCAAACTCTGGCCATCCCAAGGGCCTGCGTGAAGTTGGTCAGACGATATTTTTAGCGCGAAGGCGGGAATGAATGGAAATACTGAGAAAAGAAAAATAGAATAGAGTACACAGGTTGAGATGAACTTACTTTATTCTGGAAAATACCCAGGAAAACAGACGTCTGCGCATGCTCGCCGCCGCTGCGTCGCTATTCGAGCATCAAGTCAAAGAAGCTATACTAGCGATTGAAGAAACATACCGAAGTGTCGCTAATACAGTCTGCGCCTTTGCTCTTGATGCGAGAGACTTCCAGTTACTTTTTACCCTGGGTATCAGCGCCTCTGTCTAATTGATTGATATGTAGCCTTTAAGGTCCCAAAACCACCATATGATTATGAGAGATGCCGTAGTGGAGGGCTCCGGAAATTTCGACCACATGGAGTTCTTTAACGCACTTCTAAATCTGAGCACACGGGCCTACAACGATTCCGCCTCCATTGCAAATGCAGCCGCCGCAGCCGGGATTTGATCTCTTGACCTGCGGGTCAGCAGCCGAGCACCTTAGCCACTAGACCACCACGGCAGGGCAAGCGCCTCTATCTAATCTCACGCAGCCACCGGACCGCGGTCAACTATACATGGTCTTTTTTTTTCCGAAATAAAGTCTGATGATCTTTAGTTCTCACCCTGTACACTGTGTTTTTTTTTTCTTGTCTTCCGAGTATTCTTTTTTTCGCACCTTTGTGCCAGAAATGTTGTCTGTAGTACAACACCAATCCGCCCGACAGGAAGGTTCTTTTAGGGTGGTCTTGTTTAGCCGGGCCGTCCCGGAGTGGGCCTGTAGCCAGGTGACGTCGAGTTTACTTCCGTCCATTGTGAACCAAATAAAGTTGTTATAAAGGGGTCAATTTTGTGTCTCTTACTAGACACGAAATTGCACCCGTTCTCCTTTGTATATCACCGCGCCTCTTCACTGGTTTCACTGCGTCACGAATGATCCCACCTTCGACGAAGTGGTGATGTCATGTAATGAGGTCATCATATAAAGTTACGCCACGATGATGTCATGATGACGCCGCAGATTAGTCGTCACGTGATTGCGACGTCACCCGCTATTTTGGGATGCTTCTTGTGCCGCTCACATTGTAGCCTCGGACTCGCCAGGTCTCGTACTACGCGTCGCCACGTCTCTACAGATCTTTTTCTTGACTCATATCAGTGAAACTATGCCAATAGAAACGTAGTGGACATTGTTTGTGGTTTCTTGACTTCATCGCAGTAATTCTCGTGTAAACTGAAAAACAAATCGACGTAGACAAACAGCTACCCCTTCCGTCCTAGGCAGTGAGTGTTCCGCACTGGCCGCCTGGGCCTCGAATGGCGCTAGCTTACACTCTCAGGTGTTAAGGACTCATGAATACCCTACCGAAAAGTTGATGATGAAGTGCCCTCTGTTGTAGGCCAAATGGCAGGTCACCGGACAGAAATGGTAGATCATTGTACAAAAGAGCAATCCGCACTTCGTGTAAAGCAAGAGAAGCATGAAGTCTGGTCAAACGCACAGGCCAGTCCAGGTGAAAATATTGGAGAGAAATACAGAGATTACAAAGAAAGGTGTCGCCAGCGGAGGACAAACAGTAAAAAAAAGACAGGCAAAAACTGCGACGAATGATCAACGGAACGCATGTTCACGCTGAAGCAATGTAAAGGAATGTGTCTATTATCTGTTATCTTTATCACACGCTATCTGCAAAGTAACAGATGGTACAGATAAGTGATCTCATGCACGCGACCCGCCTACCCTTCACTAGCGGCTCGCGCAAGACACTCTTCGTCCCACATGTTTTTTGTTGCGTTCGCTACACTGGCCATGGTGGAGCACTTTCGCGCGACTTAGCTTTATCAGTTCTGCGCACGCGCGAGGACTAATGACGTCACACGGCGCACAGCTGGCGCGCCGGACAAAGCCTGGAAGATCCTGCAAGTGACGTGTCACTAGTGGAATGGTGCTTGACTCGCGTAAGATCGCTCACTCGCTAGTCCGTCCCCCGTCTGTCCGTCCATCTTCCGGTCCGTCCGTCCGTCCGTGTTTCGCCCGTCCGTAGTTCACGCTACGTATAACCTGGAATATCGAAGTCACTGCTAATTTTTACGGCTTGGCCGGTCTTTGTGACATTGCTTAATTGTGCTTCCATTATTTGCGGGATGATTGAGACTAATAACGCTTTGATCGGGTAAGCCGCCCACACGTTACTGATCCTAAACCTTTTTTTCGCAAAACACCCCATGTGGTCACTCTGTGTAGAAAACGAACCACGGAGCAAGGGCTCAATAATCCACGATCGGCGTCCAGATTTTAGTTATTGTGGAGACTGGTAGCCAAATGTTTCTGGAATCCTGACACCAAATCTCTTTCAGATATGAGCCATGCATGAAATATACAGAAGCCGGACCCATACATTGACGTAGGGAGGAAAATGAGAGGGAGGGGGGGGGGCGAAGTCAGCACCATACATTGCCATTATATGAAGAGCGGTAGAGTGGAGGATGCTGTGACGAACATTCGCCCCCACCCCCCCTGAAGAGGAACCCTGCACACGCTCATGATCCTCACCCCATGCGGAAAAAAAAGTTTTGAGACTGCTGCCCACTATCTGATGTGAGCTTGAGACCTCTGGTATGCATAATGCTGCGCAGATGTTTGGTTTAGCACGAGCTGAAGGAGCGAAATAAAAAAATTACGCTGAAAAGCTATTAATATTTCATTGTACATTCTAATTCGGCCCCTGTTCTCCGGCAGCCCACTCGTATTTACTGAATCGCATCACCATTAAGTTTTTATCGATGCCAGCTAAAATGGTGGCGACACTGTTATTCCTACATGTTACCACTGTATCATTGCAGGGTATGGTTCAGGCCGCGGAGTACATAAAACGGAAGCTGGTGGACGAAGGGATCCTATCGCAAGCCTTCAACTACAGCCTGGTAAGCGCACGAACCATTGACGTCATCATTTTTAACGAGAGCTACAAACTTTTTTCGAATCTTCTGACGTTGTCTTCTCTTAATAGTGTATTTTTTTATGCTTCCCAGGACAATCAATCAATCGATTAATTTATATATAATTAATCTTGCGCTTGCTGGCTAAGAATAAGACATTTTGTTCACTGAAGTCAGATTAACATTAGAAAGACAAATCAGCAAATGCATTTCAAAAAGTAAGGTCCTGCTTATTCACGAAAAAAAGGCCTATCTTATAATTCTTTGTCAGCGAAAATTCTAGCCAATCCTAAACGTGGGATGAGTAGTAATAAAAGCTCTTAGCTAATCAGCGAGCAATGTCGTACGAATAAGTCTTTCGAACAAGATTGATTGATATGTGGGGTTTAACATCCCAAAACCACTATATGATTATAAGAGACGCCGTAGTGGAGGACTCCGGAAATTTTGACCGCCTGGGGTTCTTTAACGTGCACCCAAATCTGAGTGCACGGACCTACAACATTTCCGCCTCCATCGGAAATGCAGCCGCCGCAGCCGGGATTCGATCCCGCGACCTGCGGGTCAGCAGCCGAGTACCATAGCCACTAGACCACCGCGGCGGGGCCTCTTTCGAACAAGGTCCATGCTTTCACGTCTACGGGTAATTAAGCAAACATAGGTGGTCGCTTATTTCTGAGCACCTGCAAAATGTTTCTTCATAAAAGTCCAGGAAAATTGTAGAAATTCATCCATAAAAATCACACGTCGAATGGATGTTCTTGCGTAGCTAGCATTGTGCCATCATGACGTACCCATCACGTTGATAACACATAAAAAAATGATTACCGGTATTAGCTCTTGATAATAACCCGCTTTTAATAGGCTAATCAGAGTGGGCGATTGGGCCTGTTGGTGATACATGAGCTAAGTGTACTACGCGGTAGAAAAGACAGATGGGAAAACGACAAGAACAAGCGCAGATTATCAACTGCGTGAGCAAACCATCGGTTGCCTTCCTAGATAAGTAGCTTCGCCCCGCCGCGGTGGTCTAGTGGCTAAGGTACTCGGCTGCTGACCCGCAGGTCGCGGGATCAAATCCCGGCTGCGGTGGCTGCATTTTCGATGGAGGCGGAAATGTTTTCAGGCACGGGTATCCAGATTTGCTTGCACGTTAAAGAACCCCAGGTGGTCTTAATTTCCGGAGCCCTCCACTACGGCGTCTCTCATAATCATATGGCAGTTTTGGGACGTCAAACCCCACATATCAATGAATGATAAGGAGCTTCAATTTCTGGCAAATGGCGCATGCGTCTAATTCATCTGATATTCTGGCTCGTGCTTCGCGTATGTGAAGTCTGACTTTTTTTTCAAATGCTACCTTCCTTCTTTTCTTTCTTCGCTTTTTTCCTGGTTGTCATATATATATATATGCAATGCGGGATGAATAAACCTTCAGTTTATAGTCTGCGCTTGTCATTGTCTTTTTCCCGTCCGTGTTTTCTACCGCGTAGTAAACTTAGATCATTTAATAGGCTACCGCGTTTATTCCACCGCTCCTTACACCACACAGCAGTCTCACAACCATGCAGCTCGTCGCGCAGCCGTTGAAGTGAGCACCGTTGGTATACTATCTGCCTGTACCGTTACTTTCGACTGCTGGACCGCTGTGGTTCGCTATACTTCCTCTACGCCAAGGCTAGGCCTATATATGGCATAGGCCAAGTAAGCCGTGTTGGGCCCGTAAGATCAGCGAGCTTAGCTGATTTTTTCAAGATTTACGTGGCTAGTGTAAACTTTTTCATTTTTTTTTCAAAAGACGGACCCTTACTCTAAAGTTTTGCTAATTGGCTGGCGCGTTGACTGTACTCTCAGTAACGAGCGATGCTCTTAAGTAGCCTCGCTTATTATTACGCAACACATCTAGAGGGCTTCACTTAGGAAGCGTCGCGCAAAAAAAAATGAATAGAGGAAAGATATTATGCAAGAAAAATGTAACGATGGGACACCAGCTTGCTGCGAAGGCAGACAAATCCGCGGCGCATCGAAACGTGCATAAAAGCAAAATGAAATGCCGTCCTTCGCACGTGGAGGACACGGCATGAAATGAAAGACAGCCTTGCTTTAAGACCTCGCCTTTGGTGTCGTGCACAGGTGCTCTACTCAATTTAGACGAGATTAAATTCTTGCTTTAAATGTCCGCCGACTCGATGTTTCCATTCTCGTTCTTGAGCATTTGCGTCGTTTGTACTTACATAGCCTGGTGCTTTACTGGAACATTTTCGAGATGTTATTCATTATTAGCTTCAGAGCACGCAAATTAGTGCAACAGTACGCTAACAAGGTTGTAGTTGCCAGCATGCTATGTTTTTTTTTTTTTTTGTCGTTTGCTTCCCAAGAACGCAAGTTTTCAAGCAACACGCGTTCTTGAAACTATGCTGGCACATCGAAGGAGTGTAGTGGAAGTTTTAGAAGGGCGTGATTAATCTTATGAATTGTTAAGAAACTCTGGGAAACTTTCCTATTGAAGCAGGAAACTATTAGAAGCAAATAAATGAGGGGAGGGTGGAATTCGTGTATTCCGACTGCATTGTTTTCGGAAAAAAATAAACGGGTCGAAATTAGTGTGGCACATTTCTATCTAAAACTACATTAACGAACAGAAAACTAAACTGAAAACTGCTAGGCTTTTTTTTATAAAATGAAACATCGTTTGCCTGAAAGCGCCTCGTAATTAAGTCGCACATTTGCAACCGCCGCCTTACTTAACCGCGCCAAAGTTTTGCGTGCCGGAAAATTGGGTTATTCTTCAATAAAAAACTTAACGTTTCTAGTTTCAGGTATGCCCTTCAGACACGAAAACTTAACCACTCGCGTCGCAATCATCCCCATAGTCTGGGTGGGTATAAAGCGATTCAAAGCTGCTTACTTTAAGTGCTTGCTCTCTAGCCGGGTGGTTTGGACTAATAGTCTTTCATATGCAACTATAGATAATTCATTTAGCCCACAAATCTCTTTCTGGTAAATGGGTAGAAGCGTTCTTCACAGATAATAAAGGACACTCTATCTAAAGCAGTTTCATTAGCCTTGTGATTTATTATGACGCGTCTTCATTAATGTGTCCTAAGCGTGTGATCGCAAGGTAACAAACCGGAATTTTATCCTGGTTAACCCATGTGCCTTTCTCTTAACCTTTTGCTACGTCCTTCTCCTAAACATATGATTCTCGGTTTGCATAAAGAGAGTACGAATAGAAAAGCACAGAAGTTAACCAGGGCTGAGCCCTGTAAGATACCCAGCGCCGGAGAAGAGGAAAGGAAAGTAATAACGGGAAGAAAGAAGTCATCGTTTCAGCTGATGTAAGAGTTCTGTGTTTGATATTGTAACAGACAAGAAAAAGGTAGAGAAGAGAAGCAGAGGAAGACGAAGAGTCTTGGCACGATCGCAGTGTGCTGCCGCAAACGAGCATCGTTCACCTCCTCTAAATAAAACCATCTTATCACAGCTCGCTGTTACAGTTGTGGTGGACGTGCGGGGTAATTGATGAAGACGGAAGGTGAACCGCAAGTTCTTCGACGGAGCCGTCGCATTGCTGGACTTCCACCGAATCCGTCTGTCTGGACATGTCCCACAACGCAAATGAACACCGACCCCTCTCGACTTCTGCGCCGACCAGTTCGGCTCCACAACTGAGAGATGCTCGTCCCTTTGCCGGCAGACCAGGTGAAGACGCCGAGGCTTGGCTCATCCATTACAAACGGGTGAGCGCCGCTAACAAATGGGATGCCGCTTCTCAGCTTTTGTACGTCGCGTTCTTTCTGACGGATACTGCATTAATGTGGTACGAGAATCGGGAGGAAACGCTAACGACGTGGGACAGATTTGTTTCTGAAATCAAAGAGCGTTTCGGCGACCCAACAACGATAAAGAAAAGAGCAGAACAGACACTAATGCAACGCGCTCAAGTGCCAGGGGAAACTTGCACGACCTACATTGAGGAAGTCATAAAGCTATGTAGGACCATTTACTCCGGAATGTCTGAGGAAGACAAAGTCGGGCACATTCTAAAAGGAATCGCCGAGGATGTTTACAGTTTCCTCATCGCGAAAGACACCTTGACATCTGTCACCGATGTCATTCGTCATTGCCGCAATTTCTAGCAACTAAAGACGAGGCGCATCACGCCAAAGTTCGGCAGGCTACCCAATGTGACGACCATCGCGAGCATATACAGCAACCAGGCGCTTGATCTTGCAACAACAATCCGGCAGATAGTACGTGAAGAACTCGGCCTGTACGCGCAAGTGGCAAACCGCCCAAGCACTCATCCCCCCTATCAGCCACCAGAGTTCGAGTGAAACGTTGCTTCATTCTCCTCGAACCGAGTGGCGGAGAGCTTGAGGATTCTGATGCCACACCTCAGTATCAGCCACGTCTATACGATAGAGGCCCTGCCTATGACGCACGATCACGACGAGCACAGCCACAATCTTATACTCAGGGCTCTCAGCCGGACTACGTCCCGCTGCGGCAAGGACAGTACCGACCCTACTACCAAGATGTAACTTACGACGAATACAATGAATTCCAGAGAGTGGCAGAAACCCGTTCTTCGCGTGATAACGAACTTCCTCGCCGACAGCAGCGGCCCAGGATTCGTTCCAATGAATATGGTATAAACCGTGACCCTCCCGTGTGCTACAACTGTGGTTTCACTGGGCATATTGCTCGGTATTGCCGCCAACGACGCCGCCAATCACGAAGGACACCAGCCATGTCTTCGTCACCAAGACCCGGTGCTTCATATGACCTGCGGACAACCGACTTGTTTCCAAGGGACCGTTTTTCGCGCGAGACCAGACGCAGTGATTCGCCAGCATCCGAGCGGAGTTTGACACCACCATCCAACCGTTCTCGTCGCTCGCCGTCTCCTCTGCGTCGTTCTTCTGCGCCGCAGGGAAACTAGCATCCGTGACCAATGGAGGTGAGGTCGCCGGACGGTCTTT